GGCATAGATGAACCATGGCTTCCAGACCAACAGAAAGTAAATATTTTAACACTCTTGACCAATAAGTGAGAGAAACAAAATGGCTGCTGTCAGGATCAACCTACATAAGACAGAGAATCAATGTTTAAATGAATTTATGAAACTCTTCAGGTGAATAACCAGGTTCATGTGACTGGTACATGTTCGTGCTGCAGTAAATATCACTAATATTTATCTTAGTATTACACAGAGGTGAGTACTCTATAATTGTCTAATAGTTGTAATGTACTTATATTGTTTGTAAGTTAGATAGGAATGAAGCGAGAGCTAGTTCTAAGCTTGTGGCTCCATAGCGACTGCCTACTAAGATGGCTGCCAGAAGTGTGACGTTACATGAGAGCTACGTATTAAAGCCCAGGTTTCCTTGACAACGGCCTTCAGGTCATCTGCACTGCTCCTGTTGATAATACTCCTATGGGGTTCAGGTCAGATCAATTCACCAATCGATCAATTAACTGAAAGGTTATTGAAGCAGCTTTTGGTATGCTGGGCAGTGTGGGCCTGCTGGAAAATTAAATCAGCATCTCCATAAAGTTTTTCAGCAGACGGAAGCCTGAAGAGCTCTGGGATGTCCTGGTAGATGTCCGAGTTGACTGCAGAAAACCCAGTGGACCAGAACCAGTAGATGATCCGTCACCCAGTTTGTCACCGACTGTAGAAACGTCACACTTGGCTTCAAAACTCTTGATGCGTTGACTCCAGGTGAAGCTTCTTAGGTGGATTAGTTGGTGGCACACCTTCTTTTTTTAACCACACTTTTTTCTTCCACTAAACTTTCTATAATAAGATGGATGTCAGCACTTTGTGAACAACTAGCTTCTTTAGCAACAAACCTTTTCGACCGCTACAAGAGAAAAGCCATCACTATCTACAATAACTCTTTGAAGAATCGGAATTAATACGAGTTACAGTAACATTTAATTTCCTTTTGGGATCAATAAAGTACTTTTGAATTTTATTTTACCTCCCTAACTGTAGAAGTTACACGTATTACAAATCCATATAAGCCTTAAAATAAATTGGTTGAGTCACCATAATTTATGTCCCAAGTCATCAAAAGCAGAATAAAAACACAATAAAGTTGGGATAAAATGGGATTTTCTACACTTTTTGCTTCATTAAAAGCATTTTAAGACTTCAAAATTATTTTAAACCAAAGGTGCAAATTAATTTTTTCATTAGAAAGCAAATGCATAAACAAGTATGAAGTTCCAGAGAGCCACCACCAGAGGGCGCTCATTGCTAATTTATCAACAATAACAGCTGTTGCTACTTTTTGCTATTTTTCCCTCAGAAATTCTTAAAAATACAAGGTTTAAAATGAAGTAGTGGTGAAAACTATGCAAATAATCATGTTTTCTTAACAGTGAATGTTTAACTGTCACTATAATCCTAACACACAAAGAAGTGAAAACATTTTCCCATCTATAGGAGATGTAAATAAACAAATACCTGCTGTGTGAAGGATTTACGTCAACATCTCTGTCCAGATGAAGCTTTAAACATCGTACCGCCGCCACATCAGGGGCCACAGCTGCCGATTAGTCGCATCTTGTTTACACCAGGGGCCGAAGATTTGTGTGACCTATTTGCTAAAAAAGCCCAGGAGGCAGAGAAAAGCAAACTGCGAAAACATGAGTTTACAAAGGTTTTAAAAAGGAAAGAAGACAAAACGAATGTTTCAGGAAAAGCTGCGTATTGTTTAGAGACAGATTAATCAGTAATATGATGATTGATGAGCTAAATTTAAAAGTATAAAAAATTAATTTGTCCATTTTTTAAATCTAAAAGAAGCTATTATGACATTTAAAAAGGCTGAAAAACACAATAAATCTACCATTATTCATTATTTTTTTGTTTTAAATATCTAAAATACTGCCTAACTGTTGGTTGATATTTAACTACTTTATCCACAGTTTTCACTTTGCATCATTTTAGCAGTTATGAGGCAAAGTGAAGCTGATCACCAACTACAAGAAGTTATTAAGGAAAATATTTAAAATAAACAAGAAATTCTAAATATATTCCCAAATCTTGCTAATAAAAAGTCATGGCACACGGTTGTAGGAAAGATCAGAGTTTTGACTTTTACTGATCTAACACGAGGAGAGCAAGGTACTAAAAGGTGATGCTATACTTTCCAAATATATTAAAGGAAAGTTGAGTGGAAGGAAAACATGAAATAACGAATGTTTTGTGAAGCAAAGAGTTTCAAGCACAAACTTTAAGACCTCAAACTGTTTTTAAAAATAAATAAGATTCTCACAGTATTAAAAATAATTTATTAAGATGGAAAAGTAAATATATTCATTTACTTTTGAATTTTGTTGGACGTTTCTTAGTTCCTATGATTAATTACAGCAGTGGATGTAAAGGATTTTTAAACCATAATGTTCTTTTTGTTTTTACACTGGACAGCGAGTTTTCCATGGTGATTCTTCAAATCCAGAGTCCAGGCAACCTTTGACCCCTTCACTGAGAACATGTCCGACATTTAGAGTGGAAACTTCCAGGAAGTGATTCGACTACTGTGATTGGCTGCTTGAGTTTTTGTCATCGTTGCGCGGTAAACTGAGCAGCTCCTCGATCTTCTCCAGGTCCTTATTGGTTTCTTCTGGCTGAACGCTGACGTTCAAACTATCGATCAGCTCATCGGTCAGCTGCAGACGGGCCGACCTGATCGGATCAACACAGAGAACACAGGATTAGGGTTTCACACACATGTGAAGTCAACCTACTGGGCCTGAGACAAACACACAAATATTCACGCATATCCTCTCCTATGTGTGAATATTTTTCTTACCATTCTGCGAGTTTGAGTTCGTAAAGCTCTCGTCGTTCTCGCCGCCTCCGCTCTCTAAAGGTTTCTCCTGTCAGAGACTGCAGGCCGATGACCATGGCGCCCACAGGAATCCTGTGGAGAGACAAATTTTAAGATATGGTGAATTATGATACGGTGTGTGTTTGTAGAAAATAAATAAAAGGAAACTCAGTGCTAAAAGGGCAGAATTATGTATTTTCCAGCCACATTGTATCTTTTTATCTGTGTTGGATTCAGTTTTTATAAAGATGTTATACATATCAAACATGACTTAAAAGAAATTTTACTTCCTGATTTAACATTTTGAAATTGGGCCTCTGTCTCTTTAAGAACTCCTGCTCTTTCTGAACTCATCACAACCCTTTAATTTTTTTTTACTAGCGCTTCACTGATAAGTAGCGACTGTAACGAGCTCAACAGATGTTCCACCAGGTGTTTACTAATTGCTGCTGACTAGTCTGAAGGAGCTGAGTGGGGGAGGAGCTACACCTCGAAGGCGGGGCTAAATCCAACCAGGGGTATTCACAGCTGAATGGTTGCCATGGAGATGAAAGGGTTTCTCAAACATTCATAAAAGAATCAAAGCAACATTCTAGGAAATAACATTGAAACATGATGTAAAGCTGAAAAAACAAAGAACATTTTTTACATATTACTGCCCCTTTAAGAGACCTGTTTTACTGTTTCCTTTCCGTTTAAACCAAAACAATGTAAAATCACATTTTAGAACAATGAATTTGAAATGAACATTTCATTATAAGAGTAAATAAACACCCAGGCTTCTCATTTCACCTCTCCTTCTCCTCCACCATTAATGTCGGGAGCTTTAAGCGGAGCTCTGGAGCATCATGATGCGATGCAGTCGGCTACCTCCCATCACTACTCAGCCTCGTTTCCACCTCACCTACTTCACATCAAACGCTCCAGGTGGCTGCCCGCTCAGGCACAGAGAGCCCAGGACGCAGCAGTCCAGAGCCAACACAACAACTACAAACAATCCATCCTCCGGTTAAACCTTTAAATCACAACCTGCTTCACCCTGAGTGAAGTCAGCAACAAAAATGTAAATCAGAAGATGGGAGTGAAGGAGGAAACGGTAATGGTGTCCATGTTGAGGGGGCAGCTGATGCTTTGGCTGGCGTTTTTTACTCTAGTACCCAAAAAAAATATGGCCAACTGCGGTGCAGATGAGTCCCTCTGGCAGCGGGAGCAGACATGGAGGCAGAGCTGCAGCTGGACAGCAGAGGGCTGCCGAGGGGCGCAGCTGGCTGCCAGAGCGCCGTCTGTTCTCAAGCAAAAACTGTTCACAAGCATGAGTGGAAATACGACAAGTAAGCACAGGGATAAAAACTCTCGCTGCGTCTCCGTTACGAGTATTTGTCTGAGAACAACAGTTTTCAGTTGAAGTGTTGCCGTTAAATAAAAAATGAAATTAAATGTGATAAATAATGACAGCGTCGGATATAAACAGTTACATGTGATTTTCAGAGGAAACATTGAGGCGCTGGAGCGACAAGTCCCGCCTACTTTTGGCGTTTTGGGGAAATTATAGTCGGCCATTTTACAGAAGAGCATTGGATTCAACTCAACTTTTTATAAACTGCGACAAAAAACATCATAATTCAACCACTTCCTGTTGTCTTCTTTGTCGTTTCTGCCAGTAGTAACATCCTGATGTTGATCACATGACTTGTGTGATGCAAAAAAGAGTTGACTATTACGATACGGCTATAGAATAAAACAGAAAATAATATATTTAATTGATCTCAAGGGGAAATTGCTTTACAGTGCAGAGAATATCTAAGTTGTAAAGTTTTGTTTTAGTGTGTTTTTATCAGCAATTAGTGCACACAGAATAAATATTGCATTCCAACAAATTAGTGCAAAATAACCAGATAAGAAAAATAACAGCAACAGAAATAACATAAAATAAAAAAGGAATAAAGACAAAACAAAACATAATCAAATTGTGTCTCAGCAAAAACAATTAAATTGCGTCGTTAAAGAAGAAAAAATAATTAAAAGTCTGATGGTTTCCTGTGGTGCATTTTAATAAAATGAGTCTCAAATTTGGCAAGTTTCCTTTAAGTAAATGTATTTTTTTGAGGTAAATAGAAACACAGCTACAGTTTTTTCTTGCTGGTCGTTTGAGGAATCACATTTTAACGTCTACAGACTGAATTATTTGTCCTTTCTTCTTCTTTGTGTCGCGTTAAAAACACTGAATCCTTCATCGATGTGAAATGACAAGCGGCTCTTACCCCAGCGCCGCTCCGATGACGCTCCCAGCCACCAGGCCTCTCAGGCCCAGGTTCAGCCTGAAGAGGCCGACCGTGACAGCTGCACACAGAGAGAGAGAGTTTCATCATCAGTCACCGCCTGATTTACTTAAACGCTCAGTGATGTAAAAACTGATTTTAGTATGACGTCATGTAACAGTGGAAGGTTTTATTTTGACATTAGGTCAGATAAACGAAGCAACTCACCTCCAGCTGCAACGTAATTACTGACAGCGTCTTTGTTCCTGTACACAGCCAGGCCGGTGCTGACGGAGCTACAGCAGAGAGGAGTGAACAGAGTCACAAACTGAACACAAAAAGCAACAAATGTGTAATATAAACTCTCAGTTTGTTAGTTTTCCTCATTATTCATCACACAGCATCTTGGTAAAGCCTTTACAACTCTTGAATTTTTCAGTATTTTATCGCAATACAACAAAAAACGCATTTTACTGTAATTTTTATGTAGCAGTTTTCAGGAAAAGGGTGAAGTATGTAGAAAAATTGTCCCAAATGTTATCACGATAAACAATAATATTGTCATTTTGAGACTATTTTCAGAAACTATAATGCTAATAATGTAAAAACATGTCGTCAAAGATAAATAAACTTTAAATTCTAATGAATATTCAACACTGGAAGACATTTTAAATATCCAAAATAAAGAAACAAAACAACAAATAAAATGAGTTTTAAAGTCTGTAAACAAAAAAACAACCGAGACTAAAGCAGCAGACTGAAAACTTTTATCACCCAGTTTTTAGAAAAAGAAAAGAACAATAAATCATGCAAATGGGAATTATGGACATTATTCTAATTTACTATGCAATGAATTAATTTATCACGACAGGCCTACTTTGTTTCATTTAGAGATGCTCTAATTTTTCTTGTTTGATTTTTTTATTTTATTTCAACCAGCAACCATTTATTATCCACATAATTAACATAATTGATTGTTTTCTCTATAAAATTCTTTGAAGTTTGTAAAAATAGCAACTTTTTCAAGGCAGATTTTAATAAACACTTCCGTAGCTGAATCAGGGGAAGCGTCCTGCAGGATTTAATTAAAAATCGATTTCCTTCCTTGTGAATTAACCCTCAGGTGTCATAAATGATCCACTTATTCTGCTCACCTGAACAAAGTGACGATAACAGAGACTCTCCAGCTCCATCGCCAGCCGTACCGTAGGAAACCTCGGATCGCTGCGTTGTGAGCGGAGCGCTAAGAGGAAATACAACAAAGATGCTTTTATTTTTTACTCCTGTCACCTCAAAAATCAGAGATTATGACGTCTTAAAAATACACTTTCTTATTAATCTTACAGCAATTTCCTGGCAAAATCATGTGGGAAAGGTGAGAAATTCATAAAATCTTCCCTAAAGCTAAATTCAGACGATCAAAACCGATTAGTAGGACAGTTCACACTCCAATGAGGATTCACTTACGACTGCTTCCACGCGACTCGTATACATCTCCGCCTGGCTGATCTGGATGTACCGCTGCCTGGCGAGGCGCGCGGCTGGCAGGCCGCCGTACAGGAAGCCGGTGAAAGCTCCCAGAATGCCGCACTTCATCACGGTCATTACTTCCTCTGAGGGTCTCTGCATCTCACTACAATCAGAAAAAAACAAGAAAAAAATCAACCAGAACTGAATCGATTAATCGCGATTAATCAATTATTGAAATAATCAACTAGTTTAGTGATCGATTAATTGCTAAATAGAGTATAGAGAGTTAAAAATGCATTTTGCTCCAAAATACATCACATTCAGACCAGAAGTTATAAAAGGAAATATATATACATTTAGCATTAAAGACAAAAACATATTTGTTTGTAAATCTGTTTCACCCAAAACTACTTGGTTCAAATTCACTAAAGAAATGAGAGCAATACTTCAAAGAGATGACATGTTTGTTTATTTACATCTTTTAATGCATTTCTAACATTTTTAAAAGGATTTATGAAAAATCTGCAGCATATTACAAGAGTTGAAGGAAGGACACAAGGAATCAAATAAGGAAGGAAAGGCAACGTGAAGGATGCAAAAAAATCAGAAGGGAAGTTTAAAAGAAAGATAGAAGGATGTAGGAAAGAAGGAAAAGAATAAAAGATACCAGAAAGAAAAGGAGGACAAGACAGGAAGAACATGAGAAACGAAGGAAGGAAGAAAGGAGAACTATGACTTGTACAGCATAGAAAAGATGGTGGCAGCATCATGATGAATAATTTTTAACAGCAGAGTTATAATCCTGAACAAGTCTCTTTGTGTTTTTCTGCATAACCCACAAATATGTTCGGTGTGTTTCTTTGAAAACCCTGAAATCATTAATTTATGATTATGAATTCCCCCCCCAAAAAAGAGTCCCGTCCATTTAAATAAAGCTAAACGGACGATAAAACCACAAAATAATCAAACTGAGAGTGAAAACAGACTGACTCTCGATCAAAGATGTCCTTGATGCGCTGCCATCCTGTGTCTGGAAATTCTGGCTTCCCGATGTTCTTTGGCAGAGAGCCGGCTGCAGGACTAGTGGAGGAAGAGGAGGAGGAGGAAGAGGGCATCTGCCCAGCAGCCACATCAGCTGCATCCACCCTGGGGAGCAGAAAGCAGAAGAAGCGAGGCATGGCGGTCTGGACGAGGCCCTGGAACGGGCCTGTGCTCATCAGGCCCCGGAGGCTGGAGTCTGTCTGAGCAGGACGAGGCTCGTTCTCTGGCTGCAGTAGAGAAAGAAACACTCAGTTACGCAACGAGAACAAGTTTAAATGAGAGCAGAGGACATGAAAAATCTTAAATGTGTCCAAGCCTAGTGGCGGAAGTGGAGAGTAAATGGATATTTTACACATTAGCGCTTATTAATGCAGCTTTAATATTCTGTGGTTCAATATTATTTGCTACTTTCTGCAGGGTTACACCAAGAATAACATTACTCAGCTGCACATTTCTCATAAATTATGGTATTTTATATTTGTCTATCATATAAAATCCCAGAAAAATGCATTAAAGTTTGTGATTGTGACTTGGAAAAAATAAGGGAAAACAAAATAAGTTTTAAATAATATAACAAAAAACTATTTTATTGCTTAAAATTTTAGATAAGCTAATCAGAAAGCCAGATCTGTGCTAAAAAAAGTAATAAATAAATAAATGGAGTAAATTTAGGTAAAAAAAAAAAATCTAAACTTTTGAGATCTCAAAACTTTTCTAGAAAAACAACTTAATTTCTTCAAAATGTTCAGAAATTGTGAATTTTTTTTCTTGAAATTTTCAGAAATTAATCTAGAAATTTCTGATTTTTTTTCTAGCAAATTTTCAACTTTTAAAACTAAGACATTTTCACATTTTTTACAAAGAAAATTCTGATCTCAAAATTTGAGCTTTTTTCAAGCAAATTTTCAAGTTTTTCTAAAAAGATTTTTAAGATCTTCTAGCAAATTTTGGCCTTTTCAAACTCAGAAATGTTTCCATTTTTTCCCCTCAAAATATCTGCGATTAACATTAAACTTTGAATTTTTCTCAAGCTAATTTTGATTAATCTCAAAATTTCTGAGTTTTTTCTAGCAAATTTTCCACTTTTCAGATTCAGAAATGTTGCATTTTTTTCAAGAAACTTTTTTAAAATTCCCAGCAGCTGTTAATCTGTAACCATTACTGCTCCTAACAAACTCTAAAAGTCTTTACATTCCAAGGTTGCTCCTTAATTTCCCCAATTTATTGTACTCTTATTTATGGAAAAATACAGTTTGTACACTTCTGAAATGGACTCTTCCCAGTTGCACATTTCTCTTACTATATAGTATTTTATCAACTGTACAGTAATATTGTCCATAAGTGGTACGTTTCCCTTTATTGTACAGTCTTTTATTAATTTATTTGGCCTTAGTTTGAATATGCATCCTTCTATTTACCTTCATTTCACTACTGGTACGCCTGAATTTTCCCAATGTGGGGCAATAAATTATATTTTTATTCTACCACTACATAAAAATGAACCGCTACGGTTAAGAAAATAAATCTACTTTTAGTCTAAATGCATTTTAAATCTCATTTTGTACTTCAGTATATATTCACCTTCGTGTTTCTCTTGTCTAGCTAGCTACAGTCGCAGTTTCTAATCAATACCTGCGTCAGGTCAAACTGCTACATGAGAAAAACGTTACATTATCCTGTATAGCAAAGTCAAAACACAATTTGTCTTTACAAACAAAAATATAAATGTTTTAATTCATAACTTTTTATAAGTCACTTACATAGTATAGCCAATTGCTCTGCTAAGCTATCGGTGTGGGATGCTAGCTTCCCATTAGCTTCATACATGAAGGTTAAGAAGCGGCCGCGGAGGGATTCAGCAGCAGGAAATGTGGGTCTTATTTACTGGAGACGTCCGGAAAACACGAACATGATTGACAGTATTTCTCTTCTCACATGTGTCCTTCTGACGGTCATCCCACATTGACTTTCTGAAAGCACACCTACTACTGCAGCAACACAACCTCTGACTCTGGCTCAAGAAAAATGCAGAGCGGAGAGAGTGACCGGAGAGACGCGCCCCCTGGTGGCCGGAGTGGTAAACGAATCACTACCGCAGCAACACCGAGGCAACGCTGCCAAAATATAAAATATTATAGTATTTTGGTCTAGTTTTTAATTAACATTTCTTACTAAACTTACAATTAAACAAAACTAACTTTTAAGCAAGATATATTAACTTGCATTATGTAAATGATCCCTTTATATTAATGAGAAAGTATCAGTTTCATTCCTTTATTTCACATTTTTCCCATACAAGTGCAATAATTTCCCAGTACTGATTTTGTCACAAATATTAAGGAATTATTGACTTAAAATAATTTTTTATATCTTTCTGAAAAGTTACTTTAAAGTTAGTTTCTTTTTTATTTCAAGTGTATTAAGATATCTAGATAAAAATAGTCTGTAAAATACTGCGATTTTTCAGTGCAAGTAGCAGATACACAGCAATTATGTTTACAATATCCTCTTTAAATAATGTTGAGTTTACTCATCAAAACAAATCATGAGAAAAAATTATTGGCCATTTGACTAATTTTAAAATATTAATAGAGCACTGGACATCACTTAAAAATGTTTATTTACAGTCATGATACAATTTTCAAAATAGAGGATAGGAAAATGTGATTTTTTTTTAAAGTGATTGGAGATTGGTTGAAATTTTATTTTGCCTAAAAAAATAAAATGAAATGCAAAATGATTTTTTACACCAATCTAAACAGTTACCTAGCCAAACACACTTATTATTTATACGTGTTTTATATATATATGTATATATATATATATAAATAAATAAGAGGAGCAAAGTTGGTTTGAAAGTTGTTTTTCAAATTTTATTGTAATAAAAGAAACTTTGAAAGGAACCATGATTATGCTCAGACAATGATCAGAGAATCTTTGGTCAATTCTGATCACAAATTAGCCATAATGTGCAACAAATTCACAAACGGAAAAAAACAAACGCGTGTCTAGCTGACAGGACAGTACAAATACTACAACATATTCAGTAAAATCCTGGTAAACGCCAACCCTGATACTGTTTATTATCAAAAAGAAAAACATGAAATGTGTAAAATGCACATATGGAAACTATTGTTATCGCTTGGCACTTTGTGTGAAAGGAAACACTATTCAAGTTCTAAAAACCTGCCAAAAATAGCAGCTAGATTCATTTAAAAAATAATTAACAGTCTTCTCGAAACCTTTCATTTTTCCACCTTTAAGTATTTTTGATTACAAGAAAGAAACGCAACACTGAAGATCACGACAATGAGATGAATACTGATAGAAACCTCGTTGAGATCAAGTACTTCCTGTTTACAGTTCGTTTTCGTCTCTAAACTGTGTTTTTATGTTTTAAGAAACTTTGAGCTGTTGTTACAGAAATATGCTGCACAAATAAACTTGATCTAAAAATCTACAAATAGTGATTTTTGACAGAAAATTATCTCATAGATACAGGAGACGTGCAAGCCCTCTAGTGGCCGATTAAGGAACTGTCTAAAAAAAATACATGAAAGATCTGGACCAAGTTTTGAAACCGTGATTTTGAACCCAAAAATGAGAATCAATAAAAATAAAAATAGAATAAAAAATTCGTACCACAGAAAAAATACATTCATAATTGTTGATTCTCCTTCGTATCAGAGTTTAAAGCTCCGTTTTGATGGGTTTCTGGACAATCTGTTTGTAGTTGCTCCTCCGTTTGGGTTTGTAGGTGAGCAGCTGGCTGAACTCGGTCAGGAGTTTCTCCCAGTAACACGTGATTTCTCCCATTTGAAGGTGGTTCAGGATGAACTCCTGACCTCTGTCAAGAGAAAAGTTGCTGATATCTTTGGATTTCATTTATTCAATTAGACCCACATGTAGTTATCAAACGTTTTCAGTTACCTGGAGGCGATCTCTTGTGCGACAGAATCATTTTCTTTGACAAACTGAAGCAGCTCTCTGCAAACACAGGATGTGACATCACCATTAAAGGGAGTTTTACTGTATTTGTGTCTCTTTTCCCATTAATATCCATAAAATAACAAGCTACCTGACGTCAGATAAGTCCTGTTTGACCGGGACGTAGTGGACCCAGGGTTTGAGCTGAGGGTAGAAAAACTCCTGCCACTCGTCGCCCACATGAAACACCAACGAGCCACAGAGGAAGAGATGCTTGAGGCGAAAACTCGCCGCCACACCCCGAAAGTTAAATAAATATCTAACAGGACACACCGAACAGTCCATTCAGACAATTAATTCAGTGATTATAATATTTATACGCATAAAAAAGATGCTTACTTGTATTTACAGTGATCAACCAGAGGGATTTCTTTAGCTGGAGGTCTGCCCAGTGTGTCCTAAAAGACAGATAATTAAAGGGTAAACAGTAGATCTTAACGCAGAGGCGATGGGTTCGGTGTGGCTGCGTGTCGGACCTTTTCGGACCTCCAGGCCTGGTTCTTGGTGTACTCAGCATCCACCAGATCTGGAGCTTCTCTGGACAGAAGGATGAGTGGGTCACGCTCAGCGCTGGTTCTACAGAAAGGAAAAAGAAAAGAACACAAGATGACTTAGACATCTTTTCTTTCCATGTTAAAATCACAAACTTCACTGGATTTTATTTTATAAAAACAAACGTATATCTTTACTGGATTAATTTAAACACGCTCCTGCAGAAACCATGAAGCATCCTGGATGTAGTAACTAAATATTCCTTACCTGGAGCCTCTGAAGAATCCTCTGGCCTCTTTCTTCTTCCAAGGCCACTGAGCTGCAGACCTAAACATCAGAATAACTTTTCATGTCGCATCTCAGGAAAATAAAAAAAAAAAAAAAAAAACACAGTTTGCTTCCAAAAGGACCAGAATTATTCTGTAGCTGCTCTGGTTTCTCTGAGTTTTAAATAAGAACATTACTGACACCTAGTGGCCAATATGAGGCACAACCGACCTACAGGAACCTAAAATAAATTCAAATATAATTTATATTTAAAGTATTTTAAGTAGATGAGGTATGAAAATGAACAACAATAGACCTGACATGATAACATTTTTTTGCTTGTGATAAATTGTCCCAGAAGTTATTTCAATTGTTGTTTTGAGACCATTTTTAAGTAAGATAATGTCATAACAATGAAATAATGCATAATCAAAGATCAGTAAACTTTAAATTCTAATCAACATTTAACTCTGGAACTGGAAAACATTTTAAATATCCAAAATAAATAGACAAAACAACAAATAAAATTAATTATGAAGTCTCTGTAAACAAAACTCTCCTTCAAAGAAAAAGAAAAACAACAAATCATATAAATAGAAATTATTGAGCCCTTTTAAATGTATTATGAATAAATGAGTGAATGTTGTGTGAATCGCTTAATAAACTCAATAAAAATACATGATATTTACCTTTTATCATTTCATCTGTTTAATTAATTTATTGTTTATTGCTACAGGTCTAAAATTCAACAATACTACAAATACATTTTGCTCTTTTTGTTTTTTGCACAAAATAGTTTTAGTTTTATGTATATTTACAACCTTGAAAAGGTTTGAGAGTAAAACTGCATTTGCAAGGTTGTTTTATGTAATTTCAACAGACTCAGGCTAAAAAAATAACTTTATATTAAAAAGTGTTTTATCGTACTTTTTCAGCTCGTCCCTCATCAGATCCCATCTGCCCAGTCCGGTGGGGTATATGGGCCACACGGCGGGCCCGCCTTCCCAAAACGTCCACGCCGGGTACATGATGTCCTGGTAGTCTGGCGTCTAAAAACAAAACATGTTTAATTCACAAACGCTTCGGCGCCTTCAAACGACAAACACTGGCCAGATGCTGACCTTACTGAACGAGAAGACGGGCAGAATCGGTTGAACCCAGTTGGGCACCTGAGGGTAATCTCTCACATTCACCACCATCTCCACGTCAGGCAGCCTGTCAACAACCTCCAGGATGAAATGCTCCACTCCACTGCACCTAAAACACACAAGAAACCAGATTTACCGAAACTAAAGTTACCTAATTTAACTTGCCTAAATCCAGATTTAGGCAATCTGGTTTCTAACACAGTATTTATGTGAATAAACAGACACTTTTCATGCACCTTGCAGGGAACATGCAGTTGTGCTCCCGGTACAGCTTGTGTCTGATGACCTGGTAGTGGGTGCCCACACCTTTCTGAACCGTGGTTGCCATGACATCCTGAGAGATTCCCCTCTCAAACGTCTTCAGGTCATGATGGAGGACGCTGAGATGCAAGTTAGGATTTAAAAAAGAAAACACACCACATATGTTATACATTTCCTTTATTTATACACCTATATTCAGTTGAAGTTACTCACTCAAGATGGCAGCTGCAGTTAACAGGGTTGCATGTTTTGTGTCCTTTAACAGCTTCTGACACCTTTTCTTGTATTTCCTTCCACGTGTTATCTAAAAAAAAGAAAAAAAAGAAATTTGAGGCCGATGTTGTCAGTTTCCACTTGAACTTTTGTATTCTTGTTTTGTGATTTCCCAGATGCGCATGTTTGCTGTTACATCAGCTGAGTCAACTAGAGGAAAAACATATCAACCAGCCACCACTTTAGAATAAGATATGTTTTCAAACTGCTGATATTTTTCATTCCTACACTTTGAACTCATCTCAAAAGAGATAAACATGAGTACAAACCAGATCAGTTTGAGGGAAGTTAGTATATAATATTTGTGCTTTTCCTAACAAATTAAAACTCCAATTATTCTACATGTAAAAACGGAACCTTACAACATTTTTCCTCATTTAAAGATACGGATTTTGAGGAGAGACTCTTGATTTCTCTCTTTTTCTAGACTAAAATAGATCCAGTTTGAATGAAAAGTAAACTAAAATCGACAGGCATCGATGTATCAAATCTATTCAGAACCTTAACACATCTTAAGTAAGTACTACAAAGCAATACAGATAAATTTATAGTGGAAATACTCGCTGTAAACTTGGC